GTCCTCGTTGAGTGTTCCGGTTGCATTTGTCGTCCTTTTGCACGTAGAGGTGCGTAAATTGGATCCATTTGGATGCAGCAAATGATTGAACCTGTCGTAGAGTACCATGTTTCCAGAAATTTTCTTCCGTGTCGCGTTTTCCCCGTATGCCAAAATGTTCGCGTTTTCCAGATTGAATTTGCGGCATTCCTGGTCCTCGTGTATATATATCAAGGACGGCGTGCATGCCTCCTGACAGTCGCGTTGTGGTCCTTTATTCGTGTACATAATTTCCTCCCAGTTTGTCCAACGTAGAATTTGTTGCTCTCGTTGATGTCGAGTTGCTAAATCACATTGTTCCTCTTGATATTGTCCCGGTTGTCCCTTGGTCTAGAGATTAATTTCCTTAGAGTAGCACTCGATTTGTGGGCCACGAAGATTCCTTTTTGAGCCAATAATCTGGTTGCAAGCTCTGATGTATTCTTGATGTAAGATAGGACTACCCGTCTGGTGGCTTGTTCCTGCTGTTGCTGTTGTTGAGATGTCTTCTTCAAGCTTCTCTTGATAAAACTCCTTGGATATCCATTGTTCTGGAACACTCTGAATAGATGGTTTTCCTCCTCCTTCCGCAGTTCTGTGGTGCTGCAGTATGTTTCTACCCTCTTGAACAAGGTGCAATCAACTGGATCCAATTTACGCACCTTTACGTGCAAAAGGACGACAAATGCAACCGGAACACTCAACGAGGACCGAATAATGGATTCACAAACGAAGAAACAAGGAACTCCTCGGAGTCAAATCAATAAAGGTTACAAGCCGGAAGTCGGAAGGACAAAGGTCACTCCGACATCGGCCAGACTACGACGGCGAGGGATGCCAAGTTCACAAGGCACGTGGGCACCGGCGAATGAGGTCACGGGGTAAAAAGAACGACCAATGGATCCGCCCGACCGATTAACTAATCGCGGTCAAAGGTCATCCCCGGCTACCAGCACGTATATCAACACACACGTAACACTACTGAACGCACAACCACTCGTTGATGATGTCACCCCGATTAGTGATGTAACGTTTGCAACCAAATTACCCAGCTCAGGAAAATTGTTGCCTAATAAAATTGTCGGCACTGAGCTTGAAAATCCACCATGTCCCTTCCAAGCATTGTTGGGTCAACGACGAGAAATCAGTTGACCAAACCTTGTTCAAAGAAGGCATAAGGAACTATTAGGTCTTTTGGGAGTCGACGGTATTCCAGGGAAAGGAGGTCAAGCACCGCGAGTCGTGTTTCATAATCAAGGGGTTTAATGCCAGCGACTAGTTTTGTGGTGGCTCGTTGGAAACACTCAATGAGAAGTGCATCCTTCTTGAATCCTGAGTACACAGCTTCGATAGCATATTCAAGAAGCAGTTCAAAGTGGCCCTCACGGAGTATTTGGAAGTCCGTGCGAAGTAGGCAGGACATGCCTGACGGGAGTCAGATTCGTAAATTCTTTTGGTATCCATCTTTACAACGTCTCCGGGTCCATGTTTAAGATATATGAGAAATGCGTTCACTGAGTCTCCTCCGACTGACATGCGGACGTGCTTTTCTTTATTCAGAAGAAGTGGCCTTGTGAAATTTGGATGAAGACCTGTGCCGGAGTAGTGCGGGAGAGCCTACTTTCACTCGGAATTTTTTTATGAAAGTAATGCATTAATCCAGTCTGGAAACATTTATCATGCTGACTTCCCAGGAACACGTATCCTACTTGCCCAGCACAAGTTTGTACCAGCTTCAGTGGACATGTTGGACCATTGCCCAGAAAATTCATGAGGCTGACGCGGTGTTCCCAAGGCGACCAGACAAAATCGAATATACCAGAAGTTACCCAGAACGTTTGTGCATTTTTTGAAAACTTGGACACGATTATTCATCAAAAGATAACCAAAGGTGGCACAGATGAGATCAGTGAAATCACCTGCCGAACAGATCAACAGGCTTCCAGCAGCCGCTGACTGGTACCTTCCTCCGAATGGTGATAAATACTTCAGTGTGCAAATTGGAGGATACTAAGAAAACACCTTTGATGTATATGGTACGAATGGACAAGGAGATGTTGTGAAGATGGATACCAATGAGGAATTAGGCGTCTGTTCCCCATCAAACATGCCGTTCTACACCGAAAATGGGGAATTCGCTCTCCCTCAAATTGGTGATTATTACGATTATTATAAGTACAAGGTGGAAGATTTTCGTAAGCACTGGCAAGATCGGAAACCGTACGGGGAGAATTACCGGCAGGTAAATTTCGTGATCCCGTTTGGCTTTATAGTGCTTGGAAACATGATTATATGATTTCACTGAGTTGTTAAAATGCTGAACTCACTCGATGCTTACTTCAGCGGTTCATAATATTCCTATCCGCTGGGACCCAGGTAGCGATGCCTGATGACAAATTTTCATTTCAGATGAAGAACTCTAGTGGAGTCATCCAAGAAAAAATTCTACAAACGGTCCTACTCCTGCTCTGTATCGAAGAAGTCCTTGAAGTTTCTACACTTGGTTTACTCCCCCTCTCTGCGGGCGACATAAAAATCTCCCGGAAATTTCCGTCTACAAATCTCTTATCTGTCACCAGACCCAACGAATAAGAGACCTTCTGACACGCTGGTCAAGTGGTCGAACCTCCTCTTTCGCAAGACCCCCATTCCTTTTCGGCCGCTTCCCTCCCCTGTTGATGGGCGTTATCTTAATTGAGACCTCGTCAAATTTTCTGGTGAGATCAATTTACTTACCCTCAGACACCCTTGCTACTTTCGTATATTTCCGCCAAAGTTCAGTTCCACGTTACCTGGGTAGCTAGACTCCGCTCCCTAATATTGCACTACTTTCAGCTTGGAGAAGCAAGAATCAAAGTTTTCAAGCAACGCGTGGGGTCGGTTATGGAATTTCTCTTTGCATTATCCAGGATTTGCTGCCACAGTCGAAGACAAGCAGCGCAAAACGTCCAGCGCTCGCACCCGAAATTCATGTCCTCTCCAACCACTGCCGCGCAATCGCTTGGGCCTTGAACTTTTTTGGATTTGCCGGCCTAGGCCAAATCTGAAACTCATTCCTTCCCAAAATGTCTTTACAAGCTTTCTATAGGCACAATAAGTTATTGCTTTCGATATAAGTCCCACAAATCAAGCAACCTTGTCGTAAGGCCTCCTGTGCCTATTAACCTTCAACACCTAATAATAATAATGTTTATTTCCCAACCGTTGGGCGGCATACTGTCAGGTATGACAATAATGTTACGGTCGGACTAAAAGAACGACTGGTGGGGACTATGGGTACGGGGGGATAGGAAAAGGGACAGCATCATTGGGGACGGTCATTATAAGAGGTAGGTAAGATCACCACAAACCCGACACAGGAGGGAAGCACAACTACCGCGCCTTATTGGGGAGAATACTCAGCAAGATCGGATCGCTAGTATTTGAAGGTGGCGGGCAAAAACAAAGCTAGGGCGGGCTAAAAAAGAGGCTTCCTGTATGACACATGACGAGAAAAGTGTAACGGTGAAAAACGAGGAACCAGAACATCAGATCGGATGAAGCAACGGAGCTGGCGTCATCCAGCCATATATGTTGAACTAAAACCTAAATCCACCGTTAAGGTTCCGTGGCCTTGGACTGTTGGACTCATGGCCAGGGTCAAGTAGTAGGGATGACGAGGTGGAGGGATTAGCAAAGCAGATAGGCGTTAACAGAAATCACAGAATCACGCTGTACCGCGAAGCTGTAAAGACTCATCAGTGTCGCTGTTTTGGAGCCGGGCATAATAGATCTTTTGAAGAGTGAAATGTTGGCAACGCGCAACCGGAACACGAACGGTATAGAAAATTATTGAATTTTGTGGGAAGCACAGAAACACAGAGATGGTTAAATTCGGAAGAATAGGTTAACAGGTTGGAATGAATATGTCATGGAGGCAGTTGATCAGGTGGGGAGTCTATCCTCTTCTTATTTTACTGTCCTGCTATCCGAAAATGTCTAAACAAACAGATTTTAAATAGCACATGTCAAGTATCTCTTCGGATTCCGAGGATGTCATGCTTTAATATGGCACTGCTGCCGCCACACTTCATCCTGAAAAACCCTCCGATTCCTTCGACGAGTCAGTCTGAAGTACACTTGGGTTTAATGTGTTCGTTGTTCTTTTCTCTCGTATTGCACTGTTGTTGTGCACGAGCTAAGATCATTGAAATTCAACGCTCAGTGGTATACTTCTCTACGCCTATTTCCTTGCACGAGACCACATAAATCCACTTCTCTCTCAAACTCAATGGAATTGACCTTGATCTGTCTTGTTTCTCCAGCTCAAATAGATCCATACAAAACTGCATATATGTGTACATACACCATAAAAATAGATTATGTGGTCCATCCGCCCACCAAACAAACACAAGTGCGTGTCGCATAATGTCCCGCTCCGAGCGCGTTCACACCGGGGCACTCAACCCGGTTGTTTATTTCAACATCGCACATTCAACAGATGTGCGTTATACTCTGATGCTTCCCACCCAGGTTGTCAGCAATGTGTGTGTTGGGGATGATGATGATGATGATGCATTATAGTTGGAAAACAGATCTCAACTATTTTTCAAAAGCTTGACTAGGGAATACTCGGAAGACGAGCTGCCTTTCCGTAAACTGTAGAACCGATGTAAATCGGAAATGCGGCAATGGAACATACGAAAAAACCACCATATTATGCCTTTACCGGAAAAACAGAAATATCCTGTTTAAATTCACGAGACACCGTTGGAGAAAAAAGCCAACCGCGTTTTTTTGATGGACGAGAACGGAGAACCCACAAGTGACACAACAGTGGTATCTGAGGTTTACAGACAACACTATGCAGGTCTATATGCAGCCCCGGTGTCCTCCCCAGTCTTGTCAAGACGGAACTACGAAATACCGCTCACTCACCTGGTCTTCATGGTGGAGGACATTCGTACTCTTACATGAGATCAACCCGCTCTGCGCGCTAGGGCCCGACGTAGTCCATCGAAGGACCCTGGAGGAACTGTCAGCAACAATGGTAAATCATTAATACCTGATGTTTCGCCAGTTGCTCAACAAAGGCAACCCTCATTTGTGCATAAGGAAGCGACTGTCACGCCAATCCACAAAACTGGTGACCAATGATCGCGGACAGAGACCGGCCTACAAGCCTCACTAGCTTGGCGTGTAAGGTGATGGAGCGCATGCTGGATTAAGCTGTCCTAGATGCTCTTACCTCCAACAACTTGAGATCTGCAGCTCAACAAGGATTTCTCCTAAACCGTTCTTGCGTGACAAACATGTTGGCGTTTATGGGCATTTTAACGCAAGCAAAGGACGAGGAACCCAAATCAGATGCCGTATATTTCGACTTCTCAAAAGCATTCGATCGAGCTCCACAAACCCGACTCTTACGGGATTCAAAGGAAATCCTACACTGGATCAAGGCGTTCCTATCGGACAGATCAATCCGTGTGAAGGTAGGTTCTACCCACTCTTCTCCAGCGCTAGTCTCCACTCGAGTACATCAAGGCCCCGTTATTGGACCACTGCCGTTTCTGATATACATCAACGAACTTCTAGATGTTCTTGCAATTTCAAATTCTACTTTTTGCGGACGACTTGAAATACCGAAGTTCCAATGCCAATATCATAAAAATGGATGTAAACGCTGCAAAGCAGTGGTCGTTGGACTGACATCTTCCTCCGAAGGACGAAAAGTGCGTCCATATGTCATAAGGAGGAGACTCAGCGACGCCTATGTCATGCATGATGAGAAGGGACCAGAAAACATCACGAAAGTAGATGCCAGAAAGAACTGGGACATCTGGCTCTCTTCGAAAATGTCCTCCTCACTGCACCATGAGAAATCGTCCCAGGTGAATATGCTAACCTACATTTCATTCGGTTCACCTTCTCCCCTATTAATCACATGGACTTCCTAATACACTATGGAGCCTATGCTCCTTGAATTTACCAACCATGTTGTCCATTCAGGTCGCAGAAACGATCTAGCCTCATTGGGCATGTGCAGCGAACCGCTACGAAAATGGTTGTCTTCCTGAATCCGTAAAATACGAAACGCGTCTCGTGGTGCCTGATCACTTCCTCTGGAGTATCGTGGCCTCTGGAGGAACCTAATTCTTACTTGTGCCCTGTTTTCACAGAGCTTGACCGACAGGTTTTTCACAATCAACCCAGAAAACACTCGGCATAGACATAGTAAGATAAGCGCACACACCTTCATTAGTTGAAACTGTTCTCATTTCAGACAGTTGGTACGTGGAATGACATATCTCTGACTGTTGTCTGAGCTCCAACCCAGTTCGAAGCACTATTAGACTCTTTTTATGCGAGTCTTCACTCTGGCCAGCATACTCCCCCGCGCTGGGAACTTAAAGAAAAGTGTCACACCCTTTTTTGCTTGTGCATTTCAGGTAAACAGCGGCAGCTGAACGACAAGAACAAATCGGCTCGGGATTCCTTGGCGAAAGCCTCGATCCTGTATACCGACCCGTGAGTTTGCGACTCATCGCCGCCTGGTGCTTGCCTGTAGCTCTCTATCAGCTAATTTTGAAATCTCAAGCTAGGCATGCTTCCCTTGATTATCTGTATGAACTACAGAAATGTAGTACATTGCGCTCTCTGCGGACTGAACCTATGCTGGCCTTATGCTGGGTCGTTTCGCCAAATAACCCCAGACGGTTCCTTCGGAACGTTTTTGCATGGACGACACGACGCGGCGATGATTACAGCGTTCCTGCAACATGCTATCTGGTGGCTATCCCGTTGTTGCCATGCCTTCGCCATTTCTTGTGCGCGGAAGACTTTCTCAAACTGTTGATTTTATTCCAGGACTCTGAACTACCGTCCTGATTATTGTGCTGATTTCTTATTCCGCCCATGACGCTACCCATCTTTCCCATCACGACCACCCGGTGCAATGCGATGTTGACGCTGTGCCTGCCCCGGAAAGTCCGAAAAGGACTGATTAGACACCCGAGAACCATAAGCCTACCTATTTCCAAATAATTACATTCCCGTTACAGAAAACCCGCTTCTTCATCACTCTGATCAGGTGTGGTTTGGCATCGTCACACTGATACCAGTGGCTTGAACTAGTGTCTCAACAGAGCAGGGTAATCCCATGTTTTATATCAGAGCTGCTAAGTATTTTGAAGCTGCCCGAGTGCTGCTCTTTACACTGTCCAAAAGTCTATTTTTTTAAAACCAAACTCTCTGTCATGCTAGTCTCGCACCACCAGCGTTCCACCGTTCCGAAGTTAGTTGTCTTTAGATCATGCGAATTTTGGTGAGACGCTATTGCTACTACATCTTGCCATTTTTTAAGCGACCGCATAGACTCCATGCATTGCCGCGCACTTTATAACTGGTGGCTGTCGTGCTAAAAGTTCAAATGCCTGGCAGCCGGAGCAACTACTCACTAACAAACCTTATAGTTATTATCACAAAAATTAAAACGTGCTGGTCGAAAAACATTACTCACAGCACCGTCGTTGGTGAGCTCGTCAAAATTAGTGTTGGAACAACACTACAAACTGGTGGCTGGCTAAAAGTTCAAATGCCTGGCAGCCGGAGCAACTACTCACTAACAAACCTTATAGTTATTATCACAAAAATTAAAACGTGCTGGTCGAAAAACATTACTCACAGCACCGTCGTTGGTGAGCTCGTCAAAATTAGTGTTGGAACAACACTACAAAATACATTTGTAATAAAATCCAGCGTCTTGACCTCTAGACAGTTTGTTTTAAACCGGAGTTCAGTGAAAAGTCAGTATCCGTCCCTATGTCATCCAATTAATCCACTCAACACAAATTGTGGCCTGTGAGTTCACATCCTCGTTCAGCTGATAAATGACTGTCATCTTTCTGCCGTTACGAAGGGACTGGTTTTGAATTCTATTGTGACGGAAAACTCAAGTACGTGCGACCCATCTGGTTGGGTTTCAACCTGGTGCTAGGTGCAAGCGGCACATCTTCGCGCTGCTTCAAACCATCGAGCGGAGCACTAGGCACCACCGGCAGGCAACTGAGGTATCCCACCGAAGCAGCCGGGTTCTTGGCTATTTTGAATGGCGGTATGCTTCACATATATTTGGCGAAAGGAACTACACCCCGAGGCTCCTTTCTGTATCCATCGTGTTTCGTAATACCGCACTTTAGGTGGTGTAAGAGCCTACAAACAACTATTCGAAAATTTCACAAAAATAGCGATAGTTCACAAGACTGCACTTTCTCCTTTTGTCTTCCATCATCGGCTTTATCGTGGGCCACTTGGCTTTAGGGATGAAGTTCTTTTTTGCGGAAAAGGTCATTCAGAAGGAACTAGTAGAGTTGGATTTAGCGGACGGGCCTGTTTCATTATTTAGCGGTCATCGATCTGTACAGCTTATTCATAATAGAATTCCAAATGGGATCCCAGCCTCGGAATGCAGTTGCGGCTTCAAATTGCAGGGCGTTGTAGCATTGATAGTTTTGGTAGAGTCATTACATTTTGTTGACCGGTTTGCACATCCAGTGGCTGCAATAGCCTAAAATGTGCCGTGAGAGACGAACTCAGTGCTAATATCGTTTATTCCCAACTTGCGGGCGGCATACTGTTGGGCATGATCATAATGTTACCGTCAGAATGAAAGCACGACTGGCGGGGATTGTGGGGAAAAGAGGGGTTAGAGAAAAGGACAGCGAGATAGGGAGTGGGCATTATTCGAAATAGGCGTGGTCACCAGTGAACCCACATGGATAGGGAGACACAGCTACTGTGCGGTTTGGGAAAGAATATCGAGCAAGATACGGTTCCAGGTGAACAGAGGCCGCTGAACTACAAGAACAAAACCGACGAGGGAATTATTTGGCGACATCCTTGACCCTGTATATCGATCCGTGAATCCATGAGCAAGTGAATGCATGAGAGCCTCGTGCAACTGAAAACGAAATTGAAATCTTTATTGTGTGGCACCCCAGCCATCACTTCAGACATTGCAACGAAAACTACCTATTTACGAGTCTTACAAAAACACTCACATCTTCCTTTTTAAATATGAATACCTTCTCCTGCGCGAGTTCATAGAGAGCCTTTTTGTTTATGTATGTGACTTCAAGGACGAATGGGAACCACTGGCCTTGATTTTCTTTGAAAGTGAGGTGTTCGTGCCGCAGCAGTTTTATCCTCGGTTGACTGGCTCGGAAAGAACGTTTCCAGACATTAAGCTTATGTGCTGTTGCTGCCAAACATCTTTAAGAAAAACAGCCTCGCATCTTCAATATCACTAGAAACAACACATTTGTTTACCGATTTTCAACGTAAACGGAATTTATGTGTCTTGGATTGAATTTGTCTGAGATGTTTACCGACACATAAAACAACAAATTGGATTAATTTTACTTCTCGCCTGGTTGGTGTTTGTCCTTTCGTGATCGAAGCATATGATGACAAATATTGGGGAAATGGACGAGGATTTGGATGAGGGAGTCGTCGCCGACCACCTGCGTGGGACGGACGTAAATCGGTACCCTGAACACAACTACCTCACTTTCACCAACTTTGAGAAAGCCGATGCTAACTGGACTAATCTCATGTCACGGCAGAAAACTTCAATCGAAGAAACAAGCCCCCAGACCTCGCACCTGAGTCCAGAACCAAACAGCATATCTGATCTGGCATCGGTATGTAATTTACATTTGTCATTTCCATGGATCATAACTTTTTGTTTACTGTAATATTTGTTATACGGTACATTGGATGTTGTAGTATACTCCTTAACCCGGTGCAGCGCTCAATCATGGCACTATGTTTATTCACTTCATGGTGAATATGAAATTCCTCACCAGGAAACCTCGTTTTTACGTTGGAATTCCTCAGTTAAACTCTTCGTATAAAACATGGTCGATTTACATGGCGACATAAGTTGCTTATCTGGGATCCGTTTTGATGATGGAATATCAGCTAGTTGTCCATCGAACTCTTGAGCTGTAGTTAATTGTTGATGTCACCTTTGCTAAATACAGTTTCACTTACAAATATCCTTGAGTTAAGATGCTGCTTGGTACTTTTGAACAATTCTTAGCATATCAGTATCCTAAAAAATCGTGTACATCCTTCGTTTGAAGGATGTTTTCATGAGCGTTGGGTCGTAAGTCTTCGCTCCTTAACCCATACAACTCCGCATTAGTTCAAGCAGAAGGCTACAATGTTTTACTGGCGCATATTCGTGTCCTTACAATCAGATATGAGAGTGGAGCAGATTCGTTCCACGACACTCACTCTTTGATACGACCCCAGAGAGGTGGTCTTGCAACGGACTGGTAGATCGCCTGATGCCTGAGTGCTTCAAACAGTCGTAATTCGAAGAGGAGGGGGGTGGGAGGGACTTTGTTAGCTATGGATCATTAATTAGTCTTCATATGCTCCGGGCATGTTTCCATATGTCCAATTACGTGAATGCAGCTTAAACTGTTCCAAAGATTGGTTTCGATGCTGAACGTTTACTAGGATTCATAAAACGACTCGGCTCGTTATGAAACATTATCTATATTTTGAAGTTGCTCCAAGTCTTGTTATCCCACTTTCTACTCAAATCAAAAACGAGTGTAGGACAATACCGATCACAGTGATAGTTCTTCACTTTAACCGCTGAGTTATCTCAAACTCTTGCTGCTACTTGTAGATTCTGCCACCACTGAAGGAACAAAAAGATGTGTGTTCTGTTTAATGATCGCAAAACACAGGATCGGAGGGTCGGATTCGAAAGTTGCGGTTGGCTGCGTTCAGGGATTAAGAGCAATTTTATCGTTCTCTTTTTCCCCACTTGGGTCCTGTAACTTGCATATTCTGCGACGTGGCCGGGTTGAAGGACACTAATTTAGTGAAGGAGCTGTGTGTCAGCTCTTTCATTTTGTTGCGAGTTTGTACATCATACGAGGAAGTTCAACCTCACCATAGTCTGTTGATTGTTCATGCGGTGCAAGCGTGACCGTGTCACTACTTCAGATAGGACGTACATGTTTGAGTACACTGTGTTCGCACGTGGAGTTAGTTAAGTTATATCAGCACCATCAGAATCAGTGATTGACTGAATGTGTGGGCTGCATGCTGATTTGAGACAGGCGCATTTGGTAAAAGGTGTGTTCCTTCTTTGGATGATGCGTTTTGTGACGCTATAAAAACCCATCCTTTTGACAGCTGACTAGTGTGGACTTTAGATCCGGTGTCAACTCGGATAAAGTTCCTGTTTGCGATTCCATGCAGGGAATCCCACTGGATTTACCTGTGCCCGCATTCAAAATTCAAGATGATTCCCATTTATGTGTAATGCATCACATAATTTTGGGGTCAACTGCTACTGTGGGTAATGTGCATAACTTAATTTTCTGGTCCAGCCTCGTTTGAGCTCTTGTCCACCCAAATTTTCGACTGACATGTAAGTATCATTTCGAAAGGACATCCACATCAAATGCCCTAGCGTACGATCTAACGACTGGTTTTGAAGGGCACTGCCTGTTAGGGGAGAATTATTTTCTATAGAGGAAAACGTTGATAGCTCAAGTAGCATAAATGGTCGTTAGCTTGTTCGCTGAGCTGGGTAATTTGATTGTGAAAGTTTCATCACCAATGGAGGCGACATCGTCAGTTCGTTGTTATGAAGCGTAGTGGTGCGTAGCAAACACCAACCTATCGCTACGCACCACTACTCTCCCTAACACCCACCGATGAAGTCACCTCGATTGGTGATGAAACGTTTGCAATCAGATTACTCAGCTCAGCGAACAAGCCAGATAATTAGTCTTGTAGGGAGTGTTTATATATATATATATATATTTCCATGGTGTGTTACGAGTGGTTGGGATTTATTGCATCAACTGAGAGGGGATTGTTGTGATGAAGGATACTCGTCCTAGTGACTGAGTGGAACTAGTTGTAACAGGACGTATTTGTCATCGGATGTCGTCTCATACAGTTATTGCCTGTAGTACTCCGCTTACGAAACTCTATTAGTGGTGCTTCCTGAAAAATACTGGGTTAACCTAAGGGGTGACTGAAGATGACTGTTGCTTCACCAACCATTTCAAGTCTTGCTGAAAAGTATCTATTGGGGTGATTTTGTTACTCAGCTTTTTAGAGTCACGAATTGGTCGTGCGCTTTCTTGGAATTGGACTATTTGAACCGCTTTATAACCGCCGTTGTTTCACCTCATTTTTCAGCTTATATTGGGAACCTCATTTTTCTTGCAACTATATATGGTTAGACTAGTTTGAAGGGCATAGTTTCGTCGGTTGGGAAATCTGCGCAGGTTAAATGCAAGTATATTGCCTGGCACACCCGATATCAATTTAGAGCACAAGAACTTCCGTCCTCGTTCATCTTTTTTTCATAATGGGGTTTTTACACATGCTCCATATGAAAGTAAATTTTCCGTAGAAATGCTCAATAATATGCTCCATCAGTCTTTGTCTGCGTCACCGATTATTTCGGTTGACAGACCTTTTCCGGAAACTAGCAGCTTCCTCAACTTCAGTATCTAAAACTTATCAAATAGCCTTCGAACTCGCTGGTTCCTACACCGTTTTGTTAGGGAGCGCTTTTCTAAATGTTTAACCATTGAACAGTCGAAATTTTGATCGCTAATCTTTATTCGGAAAATAGCTACACCATCGTTTGAGGAAAATCAACTCATCAGTAATTAAGATAGCTTGTCGGTTCTTCGAACAACCATTCATGGATGCGAGAGAGATAACAGGTTAGAGCGCGAATTTGCTGACCGGAAGGTCTGTGGTTCGAATCCGACTTCTCTTTTTCGACTTCCCGTCTAGGCTTAGGCAACCTGGCAGTATCCCATCCCACGTGCTTTCTTCTGGTGACGGTTAGGCACCAAAAGGGTACTACAACTGAAAGATGTTTGTTTTTAATTTCTGCAACCATTCATCAGTACTCCACTTCAAATTTTCTCTGTAATATTTCAACCATAAAAGAGTATGTAAGAATTTAAGATGCCAAAAAAGATCAACAAAGTACATATCCAACAACCCGGTTTCTGTTACCAGAATCCAACATGTCAGATAGACAAAATAAGTCGCCAGACTGTGAGACATGAGTCTCTGATGTCTTCTTTTTTGAGCCATGTTGTCCCTTTAATGAATATGCTAAACGTGAATATTCTTGATCACGCCAGCACTTTTCCTAACTGCTAAATCATACCGATGCGTAAAAAGTTGCATTAAAAACTGAACGTGGTTTTTTGTATTCCCTCTGTTAAGCCAGACTATTCATCCGATCTTTGAGGACGGTGATCGAGACTGAGACTTGATACAATTTGCAATAATCAGTAAAAGTTCCGATTTTACTCATCACAGGACAGAATAATTAATTTACGTTTGTGGAAGGCTATAGTTTTGTCAAACGAGTCAAGCTTCTGGGCAGATGTGAGGGTCTGTGTTCCAGGTAGCTGCCCAACACCAAAGAAAGACAACCCTTTTTAACAGAAAATAAAGTCCACTTTGTAGAACTAAAAGGAACAAATACTGCTGCATGTCGGTCGAGATGATGAATTAAAAGCAGCGGTGATCAGGTGATATACGAGCAAAGGGGTCATCAGCTGGCGGTTAGAGCCTTAGAGCAGATAACTACAATATTATTGACGACAGTAATGTGTTCCAAGAGGAGAATCTTACTTCAATCTTTGGAAGGACCGAAATACTCTGATTGTCAGTCCTGGGACAATGCCCACATGGTCACAAATCTTACACGACCCATCGAGTATTTGTCGTTATGAACATGCAGTTGGTGTACCTATGAATGCAGGAATATCTTAGCGTGGTCTCTGAATAAGCAAGGAGGAACTGTCGATAGTGAAAGATCGTACATAACTTCCCAAACGCTTTGCCGTTCATTCGTCTGGGGGCGTTTTTTTCCCGAAAAATATTCGCCGAATAATGTGTTCTGCTCTAAAGTTGTAAACGTGTAGTCAAGTCAGGGATAGATTTCCAGTTTGGTTATAACAGTACTCTTGGTTTTCCGTGGTTTACGGTCCTAATTAGAGACACGATGGATTTTTTAGACGTTGGCAACTGTTTAAAAACTTTAACTCGCTGAGTAACAGCTTGTGAGTCTTGGGTAGAAAAGATGAAAATTGACCTGTTCTCATTGTTCTCATGCTTGCAAGTTACACTATGCTTGTGGGTTTCATTCTTTGGTAATCAAACCATTTAGCATGAAAAAGTTTATTATTAGGTACACGCTGTGCTTGTTAATTCGTTACAGCTCAGAGATTATCAACTGCTGAAAGGGTTAGGCGACTGGGAGACATCCTCCAAGTTATAGCGTGGCGTAGTGTTTTCGTGGTTCAATTTTTTCTCACGACAAGTAGGATTTTCCGAGGTTTTACACAACACATGTCTAAAGTTAAGGAAACGGCTTTCAGCTGCCAATATTTTTTTCGATTCATATTTTGCGTAATTTTTCGAGCCTGCACCAAATATTACGATTGCGTTACACTGATTGAACCAAGTAAGCAGTCGTGTGATCTGTACAATTCGTCTGTTGCTAGCAGACGCGTGCGCTAGTGATTGCGAACGATTCGAGTGAAAGCAAATGGTCGCACTCTAATCCATAGTGCATCGAAACTTCCCATTAGCACTGGACTGTATGCCACATCCTGCGCACCGGCTGCAAGTGAGTACTATCCATCAACATCCATCATCACACCGTTTATTGTCGATTGGAGTTTTGCCAGTTGATATGAGATAAAAAGGGTACAGTGCATCGTTTCGGAGGAGCTCTCAGCACCGAAGAGCTGATGATCACACCGATTACATTTCAGTAGGTCAGTAAGCGGACAACTTACTATCCGTTGTGCCCAACTATTTTGACTGAGCTAATGGGTCTTATCGAGTGTTTTCCACTCCAGGATCATCCGTTTTATAGCTTGGGTCTATCTGATTCGACCAACTCTTCTTCAATTTAACGGGTCGCTTGTAAATTGATTGTGTGGGCCTTCGTAAAACCAATTGATGAATGCAGTGATGGGTACGAACGACTGGGAACCCGCCGGATGATGGCGCACAGCTGGAAGGAATAGCTTTGAAAATCGGTTGCTTGCACGCTGCAAGACTGGTGCGTGGCCAATTTTCACTCAGCTGCAACACCCTTCCGGTGCCTAGCCGCCATGCTACCCGAAGGAAGTACGAGGCCTGGGATACTGCCAGATTGCCCAAGCCTAGACAGGGTTAGTCGAGAGGAAGAGGTCGGGTTCGAACCACGGACCTTCCGGTCAGTAAATTCCTGCTCTAACCACCTGGGCCATCTTGACCCCCGTGACCAGTTTTGGAATAAGTTATCAAAAAACGGCGATAATTCCTAAACAATTAAACAAGTGTCTTTTTGTGTGCGCTAGTTCTTGAAATGGGATTTAAAACTATATTCCAACGAATTTACGCAAGCTTTAACAAACAGGGTCCCGACGCACTGATCCTTGGTCGGGATAACAAAACTCCTTCTCGGCTATCCATGTCAGTGAGTATGAGATGAAGTCTACGGATAGTTTGACGAGTGGAATCGTCTACGTAACTGCTCCAACACTAGGTGAGAGCATCACTTGCACAAACTGTGAACGCAACTGTCTACACGCCGTCCCAAAAGTAGGCAAAACGGCAGTTCTACCTCTTTTCGTTAGCCAGCGTTTTCACGATAGGCCCTATCCTATGGCTTCTGCTTCTTCCTTAGCGAAGAATCTTTAACCATTTCCTGCTTCACTACACCGACATTCGTTCTTCGATTTCATGTTATTTGTTCTGATATCTGGTCCCAAGGTAGCCAGTGTGGCTGTAAACTATGACGCTTGCCCTGTTATCCTGTTTCATTTCTACGCAGCGTGTCCAAACCATGAAGAGTGATCTGTTGCAGTCATCATTTGATTTTGGAGTGTTTGATATTAGTGCGCAAAACACTTGTCTGAACGCTCGATGTTTGCCATGTACACACGTTTGGACCTAGAAGGTTTAATGAGCATATCTGTGTGATGAAGCTTGAGTTGATGCCAAGACTCAAGATGAGCTTGTCCAATGAAAACAGGTACTCATTAGTAGTCTGTTGTAGCACCCCGTCAAAAACTTTGCATCATCAAAACTTTGCGCATCGTATAGAAGCTAGGTGGCCACAACTGCCTAATTTGACATTTGGACGACGTATCTGGATTTCTTCCAGGGGTTCCGGATTGGCTTCAAAGTACTACCGAGTTTTTTTTATCGTCGCAGCAATGTGTCCTGCATAAGGCCTTGGTTGTAAAACCGGACACATGCTTCCATCCATCTTTATCAACAAGTGCACCGACAAAGATAGTAGCGTCACTGTGAGAATATATATTCGTGTTTACTTAGCACATAACCAAGGATCAGACCTTTAATTGAAAAGAAAATTTAAAAATGGTAGACAGGGACCGTTTTGGGGGTAGAGTAGTACTAATCTCCATAAAAGCATTGAAGGACGAACGTCAACAACCAAAGGAGTCTCTTGTAGCGTCCGGTATCTTTGGACTCTTCAGCGATATAGTTCAATTTAGGAGATTTGTACGCCTGTTGTCGTGCTCTGGACTTATGTTGGGCAAGGTCTGCAAGGGTACTGGTCACTCCCCTAGGCACACAACTTCTTTTCACTAATTCTCTACCCTTGTTTTTCCGGTTTACCTCTTACTAAGGTTTTCCTTCTGATGTGTGGTGGCTGAGCGCCAGTATGTATCGGTGGTATGCCGCCGTCGATGACAGTAATAATAATAATAATAATAATAATAAGGAAAAATAAAGGTGGGAAGCGTTGGTCGGATGTTTTGACCTATGGGCTTACTTGTCAGTTACGGACGATAGCATATTTCTGAGGAGAAGCAATTACCATGAGGGGACCTGAGTTAGATAATCGATGTGAGTGACATGGTGCTTCGAACTTGAGGATGGCTTGGTCTGTTACTGTTTTCATCAAGGGCAATGATGGAATCACGATGCCTATAGATTCATGCACACTAAATGCAAGTGAATTGACTTTGTTCTAACTAGTTTGGCGGATAGGATTTGCAAATCTGAGGTACATGTTTGCTACTCCGGGTCATGAGAGTGTGCTCCTAAAGTCCACTTTCGATGTTCCGGGGTTTTATCAGCACGATTGTTTTCCGTGGTCTTGTAAAGCTAGAACTATGTTTACTGATGACAGATTACGATTTTGTCCTAGCGTTTCCTCTGAAACACTTCGACGACAGAACCTTAGAACTAAGCATTCTACATAGAAAATGATGGAATAGAGATATTGCTAACAAAGTGCTAGGACAGTCCAATCTTCAACGTCATTCTTTCTCCATACTCAAAGATAAATCTCATTGAACAGAGCAATCTTTGAAAACCAACTCCCTGTTCTTTTTCGCTGTGCTATTCTGTTCATGTATCATAGGAAAAAACTGTTAGAAATCAACAGAAGCACGCACCTGCAGCGCTTAATGACAGCCGGGTGAGTTTAGTCATTTCCGGGCAACTGATAAGCTGCTTTTTCCCTTTTGAATGGACTGTCTGACCCGCACTGTTAACCCTTATGAGTGCAGTCATTTTATTTGATTCCTATAAAAGTTCTTTCTGATAACGCGGTCATCATGTCCACTCCGGGCAAGCCGCTGCATGAAAACCGCGAAACTTTTAGGATGGAGGACTGACTATTCATCTGCTGGCCTATTTCCAGGTAAACTAAATCGTCAAATTCCTCTAGACCCTATTTGGGTGTACAGCAATTAAGCATCTATGTTATACTGTCGGCGACACTGACTTTTCAACTGTAATTCAGCACTGCTGCTCTTGATTCTCTAATTTGCTTTCTGGTGTATTCACTGGCGTCCAAAAAAACATTGTCAGTGCGCCGATGACTGCTGCGATTTCCCCTCTGCTGGTGTTTTTATTTTCCTCCAATTAACGGTATTTACTGCTTTTTTCAGTGATTGACCAGTCTGTATGGTTTTCAACCTCACCGTCTCAAGAGAACATTCCGATTCGTAATTTTTGCAACCTGGTTTCGTAGTTTTATAAAAGGTCAAACACAGTGGTGTGCCTCACACACTGCTTAATTTTGTAGTGAATAGCATGCCTGGGAAGTGTCCGATATCCAGACCAGACCAGACCAGCTGGTTTTGGGGAATGCTACCTTTGTGTACGATAACGCACGCAGGTGGTGCACGCAGGATCTGTTTCATTTGTCTTGTTTGCCACAGGACACATCTACGGGTAACATTGATGAGTATTTGCACTCCTAGACTCCTAGTTCTACTCGTATGAGTTATTTTTTGTTAGGTTGGTGCATCTGAGAAAAAATGCCGTGATAGAAACTTAGGCTAACAAACATCTTGATGTTGAGGCTTGGTGAAGAACGCCGAAATCAACGAATATCCCAACGGTCAGATGAAACGACCAAAGTTACTTGGGACTTCATAACATCGCTTTAGAAATTTCGGATGGATTAAGGATAGAGTGGTTGATTTTGGCGATATGTGGCCACATGGTGGAAACTCGACATCCGTCGTGGAAAAAAACGCCGTTTGTCTTTAGGGTGACCAGCAAGCGGTGGATCATGAAAGCGGTTTCAATGGGGATTCCATACGTCAAGACATAGTCTGGAGTTGTTTCAAGCATACTCATGTGTTGTAGGACTACGACCAAGTATCTTTTTTCTTGTCAAGCCTCTAAAAGTTTCTTGAAGCTTGCGCAAGATAAATTACCACCATCACCATCTATCCTTGTTTGATGTGTATTCACACCGTCGCCATTAGGCGACACAAAATGGTGGACAGTATGCAGGATAAAACTCTCTACTTGCGATTTTAGGCATAAATAAGATAAAGACTTTCCTGGGTTAGAGAACAAAAAACTCACGGGGATATCGATCGAATGAGTCACTCGTACATCCTAAAAACAGTAACCCATTCGGTTTGGATACACGCATTCCATCTTGAACACAACTTACCTCGATATCCATTGGTGACAGGTACAAAGAATTGAAAATTTCCTGTGAAAATTACGGTTGATGAATTGAAAGTTTTCACCTTTAGTTTGCAAGGGATCACGATCTGTCACTTGCATGATCAGTTCACTGAGCGTAAATAGTATGTATAGACTGGAATTGAAAGCTCACTCATTATTGTAAATGAATATAGCATGTCTCCGGAAGCCGTCCTGTAACTTTTTCTTTTTCTTGATGGCCGTAGTACCATGATGGAGATATTGTTGTTCTCTAGCGGCCGCATCAAGACTGTTTCACTGGAATATCCATGCCAATTAATTTTGATCGTTCTCATTTTGAATTCAAATGAATACGCCTAGATTGTGTCTACACTCAGCCGTGGGCAACACTGAATGATTCACGAACCTCAAGCGCAAGCAAAGTATGCTACATATCTTGCAGTTAATTGACATTCGAGTCTGTCGTGACACGAACTAATGACAGGTATTTTTCAAATCCTGCGGTTGTCTCTTTATCAGACAGCTGACTACCGTATCCTTCAGTAGTCATAATCTTTTATTCTGTTTACCTCACTGCCTGGTTTTGTAAGGTCGATTTGTGGCTTAGTTGCGACGTACCAATTATTGTGCAAGCGCGATCTTTCAGGCTTCTTCTCATCTGTTACCCGCATAACTGTATCGTGAGAAGTACTGATGTACTTTTGTACACAAGAACCTCTTCTCGAGCCTCCACTTTTATCTTTAGGATAGAGCTTCTGAAGATGCTATCGATGTGAGCACCGCTCGTGTGCGCTTTCTCTGCAATCTGAGAACGGCTGCCTGGTGACGCCTCAAACAGTTTTACTCTTCACACTTTCGATGAGGTTCTCCTTCGATAGGGTGCTCGTGCATGACATCTTTCAGTGGGTCTATACAGCTTCCCTTCCGTTACTCTTATGTACTAAGTGGTTGTGTGATCGATCGACAATTTCGCGCAACTTCAACCTTTAAATTGGTCGTATACTCTCCTGCATAGTTTAAAGGATACACGCAAATGCAGCAAGCATGCGACAGAGTTCTCATCCGGTGATTGAATGTTGGGTTTTAGCTATTGTGAATTGTCCGTAGGAGTGTCTCTTGGGGAAAGAGATTTCGGCAGTATATAGAGATAAAATTTACTACACTCTTGTGACTGTATGGACTTCATGTTTTATTGTGATCAAAATTTCACTCAGCTTCTTTGAAGTTATGGATTGCTTCAATATTCCATTTTATCACCACTTTCACTTTCTTTCTGTGTTATGGACGTGCCGATACCATCATCCGTGTCAGGTTGTAAGTATGCGAACGCCATTATTTTTAATTGTTCTTTTGTTCTGGCTCACAAACCGTCCCCACGTTCAAGCTAAATCTACTGGTTGGATTAACGGGTCTGTCTCTCCACTTCCTATTCTAGGCGTACCGATTTGTCTAGAACTTCCATTTGGCATTCTGTCCGATAACAGTTAGCAAACTCTGCAATTTCCTTCAAGGGGTAACGGTTGGTGGCCAGATCCACTCACAGACTGATGTATGCAAGAGATTCAGTTGTCATTTTAGGCGGCAACTTTTCTTGTTTTGGACACATCCCATTTGTTTCCGGTTTCACTTTTCCTCTAATATTTCTTTATTTGCATTGCCATGCTACCTATCTAAAATCCTTTCCGAATCCAGTGGAATTTTCTGTGTATTGCTTCCTACCTTTACACTAACCATCGTCTTACATCTTGCGATCTTGGATCTCATCTGATGGAGGTTACCTCTAAATTCTGGTCTTTCGAAAACTCTCGGCCTTTAGTGTAAGATCCATATTTGAGACTAGCCTTGAAACAAATGCTACATACCGCATCACGCATGTCCACTAGCTGGCCCCAGTTGACTCTTCTAAGAGCCTACTACTGTCATATATTTTTGAAGAGCATGGTCACAAACATAAAAAATGAATGCAAGCGACGAATGTGAAAGCGTAATAGGAGAATATGAGATAAAAGAGAGGAACGTCTCCCTCGAATTCATGCCACCAACAATTCCAGTCAGATGAGATGAATCCCAACGTATGTAGAAATTTTGGTATGAAAACACGCGTCTAAAGACCAACAACCGAAGAAAGGACAAACAATTTTCAAAGCGCGGTAAGCGCTAGCACAATCGAGACTCGCACATCAGGCGCAAAGTGTCCGTCATACTGGGCGAAAATGTACATTCAGTGCCATGTGCCACGCATAAAAGTGTCATAAGTACGCAGAGAGCCCACAATAGCAAGCAAACACAAGTCACTGACTGTGACCTTAGGAAGTCCCAGTCCAATAACAGCCTTGGCGGATTGAGCAAAACAACTCCCTCGATAAGAGATGATCATCGGTTGGTGGACCAAAACGTCGATATCACAACTGATTGCACGTAGGACTTAGGAGGGAATATTCATCAGCACCATACTTCTGCTTCTTCTCATTCCACACAATCACTCCTCGCCCATCCGAGACGTCTATTACAGTTGCTCGGCAATCTCGAACAGCGATTAGGTCAGGTTTGATGATATGGGTTACATCTGGCTGTTTACGTAGTACGTTATGACTCCTTGAAATTTCGACCATCTAAAATTCACCCTCTTGGGAGCGTAATCTTACTGTTGACTTGCTCGACCACCATTCTGCATCAGCCCCATTTTTCAAGTAATGCCATCAAGGCACTGTCACGGTATTCAAACAAAGCTGCAGAATTGTCATTCCTATGGTGAACTTGTTGCTTTCTTTACAAGACTGTGCAGTGTGAAGTGCAATGGTGTATCACAACCAGCTCGATCTTTAACCGTCGTTCTTGAAGTCTGAAACTCGACTGACGCTTTCTGAAATTTTAGCATATACGTACTCGGCATATCTGGAAGTACGATACAATATTTTTCCTTGCTCGGTAGAGCTCTGGATACGATTGGTCTGACATCTTTTCCTTGCATCCTCGTATGCTGAGAGACACTTTTAGGATAAGAAGACTAGCTTCGCTGCCATAGCGTTCGTTATAACTGCCTCAAAATCTCAGATACCATCGGGTCCCATTTTTATCCATCTTGCCACTCTACACAGCCTGTGACTGGTTCCGGTTCTATTATCAATATGGTTGAACAGCCTTCATCAACAGACTTAGAATGTTTACCGCTGGAATCTAACTTCGTGCCACCAGTTTCCACGGTGAGTTGGTCCGTTCTGTCCTCAGAATTAGTTGCTTATTATCTTGTTGTGTTCGTGTCTTACGTGGAGTCGAAAGCCACATTGTGAGATTATCTGCTTTCTGCTTTCAACACACCAAGTGACTGCCGATTGGTTCGACGCAAAACATTCAGTATACACTACATTGTGACCACAACTAAGCTGGAATACTGCACTTTGCACCGATTAACGGTGAATCTCGCTGCCTTTGAATCCCAACGTAATGGTGTGAACACTTTCAAACTTGGTTGTCTCCGAACCGCGTCACTATCCCTCGATGGCCATCAATGCATCCAATTGTAACTCTAGCCACATTATTGGGTGTACGCCACCCTTAGTCAATAGTACAGCACGCATTCATGGCTTGGCCTCAGTAGAGCAGCCCCGTTAAAGGACACAAGGTCGATCACATGTCTGGAAACTAGGTCAGTGTGCCGGCCGGATCGCCTGCAGCAAATTGCAGCCGTACCGTTTCATATATGAGGACGTATGTGAGAGTAACCAGCACGCCGTACTTTTCAAATCATGAGTCTTAGGGAACAATTCACCTGGGTTCGGTTTGCTTGTTTATTCTATCTGACACGTTGTTGAGTATGAAGACTCAGGTGTACTTTACCCAGTGGAATTGGAAGTCAATTGTTTCCGGAAATACTTTTCCAATGTTTCGAAACTGCTCAGCTGGTGCAGGCATTTTGGAACAAAAATTTGTTTCATTGACGTCAATGACGTTCGAAGCTACACCTCTAGTTTGATTCGTATCCCTTCGGGTCCAACAAACTGAATGCTATGGCTTTAGTCGTTTAGTTTACTTCCAGTAAACCGAGACTTTTCTCTGAGGTTCACCACAGGTTTCTACTTATAGGTGTTTTGAATTTTAACGCAAATTGAAAGTTGTCCTGATGAAATGGTTTCGTAACAGAGATATAACTCAGCATAGCTGTCAAAATCACACTAATTTAAATGTGCTTTTGGAGTGATAATTTCAAATTCCAAGGTTCTAGACTCAACTTTCAACTTTGAGCAGTGCTGAACATCCAGAAGATTTTGACGACTTCATCTGCTAGTTAGGTTTCTTTCGGGTCCAAATCTGTTAACTAGACTGGATTACTTCATCGGAGCACTGAACTGTGTCGTTCAGTTGTAACACCCTTGCCTAACTGCCATGCCACCCGAAGGTTGCACGAGGGCTGGGATACCGACAGGTTGCTCAAGCCTAGACCGGGTAAGTCGAGAGGCAGAAGTCGGGTTCGAACCACGGACCTTCCGGTCAGTGAATTCGCGCTCTAAGCACTTAGGCCATCTCGAACATGAACCAACCATTGTGTTGGTATTGTTCGATGCTGAATCTAACAACCGTTCTCGTTATTCCAAAGTTTGAGTGTTATGTTCTCTACTAATCAGTCAATCAACCTTGTCAGTTACACACGAAATTGAGAAGACAGAAAGCCTTGAGGAAATTATACTGCAGCAACTGAACAGCCAATATCGAGATTCGAAGAATCAAGAATGGAATGGAACAAAACAGTCCAATGAAGGCTGAAATAGAGAGAGAGAAATATTGAGCAATATGTTCGTTAGGAGTGCCTCCTAATATTGAGTACCACTGGGATGCCTTTGATGTGTTACGGAATTCCAGGATGCAGAATTGCTGCACAGGTGGTACATAGACGGTTCGAGATGGCCAAATTTACGGGCTATCGAACAACTTTCGAAGCCGAATGTTCCTTCAAAAATTGAAGTGTATCTCTTCCGGAACGCGTGACCTCGTGTGCTTAGGACGCTGAATACCTGTAGCACAGTTGTACTGAAACCACAAGGCTGAGTTTCACGTGAACGATTTACGACCGTTTCTCCATTGTAGTCACGTTGTTCTTCATCAGTTGACCCCTTCAATGTGACCCGAAGCACCCCGCGAATGTTAATCTAGCATCAAACTAACGATGTGGGCGCCGTTGTGATTGGTGAGGTCAGTAGCGTTTTGTGTGGCTTGCGGAAGCTGCTTGTGGTTGTGTGCCTATACAAAAGTACAAATTGCCCTTCCTCATCCGTTTCAAACGTGACATGGCGTGTGGCTTGTGGTTACACAAACCATCGGAAGACGAATGGCTGTTTGGTAATGTACATGAAGCATTTTTCTCAAGCGTTTGTTTAAACCATAGTGCATATGAAAACGACGCTTACCAATCGGTTTATGTCCGCGTTTGTGTGCCTGCACTCTCGTAAGTCATCTCACCCGTTTGTGCAATGTCCAAAAACAAGATTGGTCTCTGAGGCGCGCGCACTTACACAGGGAGGCATTTGCACTTCGATGAGGTAGGCACACCAAATTCAAGGTGGAACAAGATTCACCCACTTCGTGTACCTAATCGAGTTTGTGGATGAACTGGCACGCGGGTACCCTGGGAACTAGCAGTAATTAACCGGCAGTTTGACATGTGGGAAGGTACATGTCACCTGAATTAATCAGTTCGGGTTTTATGGAGTTAGTGGGTCCCATCCAGTTCACCGTGCTCATCTCAAGGGATTGGTGTATCAGCCGCAAGTATAACATTGATAGATGATCTTATTGGAGGAACCAAAGCATTGATTAGATCCGCGGGTTGTTTTCCAACCGTTCGATAGATATTCGTATCTTGTGCAAATTTTAAAGCGGGTTCATTCAGGTACGCAACGCATTTTAACACTGCAAACAATAGTGAGAACCAGCAACCAGTGAGAACTATTCAGTTTCTGCGCAATAGTTGGGTATTTTACTTTCCAAATATTGCTCTCCGTCCAGTCGCTGATCTCAACGAACCCCGACACTGATCGATTGCAACGGAGATCTCACTTCTGCGGCATGATACAGACTTTGTCTGTAGCCCCCACTTCAGCGACTAAACAGCGGATTCAAGAGAGACACTGACACCCGTTGGAAGTTGAACCCACGACCTGTATCCGATAAACACGTAAGGAAACTCCCTCACGTCACCATTGGGATACTGACGGGCATTGGGCCCCCTCTACCCTGTGCATAGCGCCCGAAGGCCGATCACACCATTGTCAGGAGTGCCCACGCGATTCGACAGAAAAGTGCACATGGTCAGTTGAATAGATGCCATTCAGAAAATGATGGACGGCAAATTCACACCCGGATCTCCGGCGAATTTGGTGCCACTGAAAAATTGTGCTCGCCATTTGGAGCAAAGGTTCCCGTGGTTCTAGGCAAAGTGGTATCCTGTACACGTGAAATATCGTTCTTTAGAGTAATTCGAGCTGTTTCTTAAATCATTAGAATATGAGACCCCTCTTGAGTGCACCCTAGGAATGACGCTAAGTATCGGAATTGAAGTAGTTCTTGTACACCGATCACGATTTCAAGACGACAGATCACAACTTTTTTCAACACTCGACTAGAAAACAATTGCGGTATTTTGACAAAGAGAGAACCTCCTGAAGAACCCCAGGAGAAGGAAAACATCTCCTTTCCCGTACTTTCCTCTCCTGGAGAGAACTGCTGTATACGAACTCCGTATTGAGTGACTCTGCCACTGGCAATTCGACTGAGGACAATTTGAACTGCATGTAGGTCCAGGATGGCGCTTAGCTTTAGTCAGGAAGCCGTTTGATGAGTCATCAAATACATAAAAATGGTGCCTTTTCTATAGAGGAATGTCGGTAGCTCAGGTAGCTTATGTGGTGGTCGTTGGCTTGTTCGCACAACCAGCAACCCACCGCTACGCACTGCTACGCTCCTCAGTAACGCACTGATGATGTCACCTCGATTGTTGATTAACCGTTTGCAATCAAATTGTCCAGCTCAGCGAACAAGCCAACGACCACAAAAAATGGTGCCTACTTCACGTAATATATACCCTTGTGCACAACAATTTGGTTTCAATCAAAGACTCAACTGAATCTCGGTTGAATCTCGTGTTCATGATACTCTTCAACTGAAGGCGATGCACAAAGACCGCCTCGTGTTTGAGTTGGTACGATAACCGAGATACCCAAGTATATT